CAATATTAAGAAACTACTATTTGGTATAGTAGCTATAAATTGATGGCTCTTCTTTTCTCTTAAATTTTTCTTCGGATGGATTTTGATTGTTACGTAATTGATTACGAGTCGATTACATATTACCATATATTACCATATATTACTTATTTAGTTTGTGCGTTGAGATTATTAAGTAACGAGAAAATATCATTATTATAATGCAAATTTTTTTACACATATACATACACATCTTTGTGTAATTTTCTTCAATAGAATTTTTAAAGCTTCCAGTGTAAAGCTTTGAAGTCTTGATCAAGGTATTTGCATAAAAAATCTTTATATATATATATATTTTTTTTGATTAAATATCTTTATGAAAAAATAGAATTTATTTCATCGTTGTTATTATTATTTCTTTTCCTTGCAACGAAGACACGTTTTTATCTTATTTCATTTTTATTTCAATTCCAATAATTAAAATATCATTCGTTTATTTAAATATACCCATAGTTACATCACATTTCCTTATACGTGAAATTTAAATCATTTTATGAAATAACATAACCAGCATGTTTTGACAATATTTCCTGTTTAAATTAAATGGAATTAACACGTATTACCAACAACGATGTTAATGGAACCTTTTACGTCAAGAGATTATCTTAAGTGAGTATTTTTTTTTCTTTATGCACAATGTTTGGGCAGTGAGTGACTCTAATTATTATAACAACATGTAATGTGTACCCGTGGTTATTATACCTTCAAGTTAATAGCGGGGAACAATGTGGGAGATTATAGTTATCAAAAACTTTTTTGTCCCGTAAGATTGTTTTCTTCGTGAAATATTAATAATAACCAACTGGATTTTTAATCGATAAATCTTATCTTCTCGCGTGTCAAAGTGTCGAGTGTAACTACATCGATGAAATTTGCAAATCATCGAGATACTTTATTAGATTTAGAAGTGTGACGAAATCAATTATTTAACCGTTATCAACCGTGAAATAAAAATAACGTCTGTTTGTCATCACATTATTTCATAATTAATTTATCCCATATTGATTCAATCACTCATAATTCAATTCAAAATAATTCACTTTGTAATGATTCTATCTCTTCACAAATTGTCTTCACAAGCATTTTCAATTTTTTTTCCTTTCAAATTGATACGCTTTCTAATATAATCCATGGTATAAAAAATATATTTTCAGAAAATTTTAAAAAAGCATCTCAAAAGCGTTCTTCTCTTGCATAATTATATTAATAAGATTCAATTTCAATCAAATTCACCTCTCTCAAATCAATCTCCTCTCATGAAAATAAAAGAAAAATATTTATCTCTTCTCCAAAAAAAAAATATTCATAATACAAAACGTAAAACATTCTTTTCCATTCTCTCTTCACTTGATCAAAATTAAATTCTCAACGTGCACGAGATACGAGACACGGAACATCTCATCTTCTGTAAAAAAAAAAAAAAAAAATTAAAAAAA